ATCTCACAAGAAAAAAAATCTTATAGAAAGGATGTACAGCCAATTTAACATTGATTATCTCAAGATGGTGGTTCAGATGGGTTTTTATTTTATGTTTTTTGTTTGGCTCACCTGATTTTTTAAAAAAATGTATTTCTTGTGTACTCATTGTGAAATTCTCATGCAATTTAAAACAGGGGGAGTCCAGCCGGCATAGCTCAGTGATTGAGTATTGACCTATGAACCAGGAGGTCACGGTTTGATTCCCAGTCAGGGCATATGCCCAGGTTGCAGGCTCAATCCCCAGTAGGGGGCATGCAGGAGGGCATCAATGATCTCTTCCATTATTGATGTTTCTATTTCTCTCTCCCTCTCCGTTTGTCTCTGAAATCAATTAAAATATATTTTTTAAAGAGACAAAGACTGTAACTATATAATACTAAACTGATCAATCCACCAAGAAAATGTAACCATCGTAAACATATATGCACCCAATATTGGAGCACCTAAATATATATATAAAAAAAACTCTTGGTGGACTTTAAGGAAGAGACTGAAATCAATACAATCATAGTAGGAGATTTTAACAACCCTCTGACATCACTGGATAGATCTTCCAGACAAAAAATCAAAAAGGCAACAGACACCTTAATTGACTCAATATATCAGATGGACTTACTTGATATTTATAGAACATTTCATTCCAAAGCAGCAGAATAAAAATCATTTTCAAGGGCACATGGAACATTCTCAAAAATAGGCCATGTTAGAATACAAATAAGTCTTAACAAATTCAAGGTGATTAAAATCATATCAATTATCTTTGTGGATCATAAAGGCATGAAACTGGAAATTAACTACAATAAAAACATCAGCCTGGCCTGTGTAGCTCAATGGTTGAGTGTTGGCATTTAAACCAGGAAGTCAACAGTTTGATCCCAGGGATGCGGGCTCGATCCCCAGTAGGAGGCATGCAGAAGGCAGCTGATCCATGATGTAACTATGCCTGTATCCCTCTACCTCCTTCTCTCTCTAAAAATCAGTAAAAACATAATTAAAAAAAAGAAACATCGAAAATATTCAAACACATGGAGGCTAAATAGCATGTTGTTAAACAATGGATGGATTACCAATTAGATCAAGGAAGAAAAATAATTACCTGGCAAAAAATGAAACACAACAAACCCAAATCTATGGGACACAGCTAAAATAGTCCTGAGAAGAAAGTTCATAGCATTACAGGTCTACCTCAAGAAGCAAATAAAATCTCAAATAAACATTTTCACCCTTACACCCAAAAGAAGTAGGAAAGAACAACAAACAAAGCCCAGAGTAAGTAAAAGGGAAGATATAATAACATCAGAGTGGAAATAAATGACACAGAGACTGAAAAATACAACAAGACAAAAATCTATGAAACCAAGAGCTAGTTCTTTGAAAAGATAAACAAGTTTGATGGACATTTAGCCAGACTCATCAAGAAAAAAAGAGAGAAGACCCAAATAAATAAAATCACAAATCAAAGAAGAAAAGTGACAGAAATAGAAAGGATTGTAAGAAAATACTATGAACAACTACATACTCACATCTTGGACAGCCTGGGTGAAATGGACAAATTCCTGCACACATATGATATTCAAAAACTGAATCAGGAAAAATAAAAAAAGAAACTGAATAGACTGATAACTAATAAAATTGTAACAAAAAAATAAGATTCATAGGAATAAACTTAACAAGGAGGTAAAAGAGCTATATTCAAAAAACTATAGGATATTGAAGAAAGAAATGGAGAAAGATACAAACAAGTGAAAGCATATACCATGTTCATGGATAGGAAGAATTAACATCATTAAAATGTTCATACTACCCAAAACAATCTATAGATTATACACAATTCCCGTTAAAATACCAATGCCATATTTCATTCATCTAGAAAAAATATTCCAAAAATTTAAAAAGTCCTTGAATAGCATCAGCAATCTTCAGAAAGAACAAAGTTGGAGGAATCACAATAGCAGATATCAAACTATACTGCAAATCTATTGTAATCAAAACAGGCTGGTACTAATATAAGAATAAGCATATAATTCAATGGAAAGGGCAGAGAACCCAGAAAGCAACTCATGCCTTTATGGTCAATTAATATTCAAAAAAGGAAGCAAGAGCATATAATGGAATAAACACAGTCTCTTTAATATACTATAAATGGTGTTGAGAAAATTGGACAGGTACATGCATAAAAATGACACTGGACCACAAACATATGCCATAGATAAAAATGAACTCAAAATGGATAAAAGACTTAAATGTAAGTCACCAAGACATAAAACTCTTAGAAGAAAACATAGGAAATAAAATCTCAGGCATCTTGAGTAGTAATATTTTTACCAATATATCTTCTAGAACAAGGGAAACAAAGGGAAAAATAAATAAATGGAACTATATCAAACTAAAAAGCTTCTGCATAGAAAAAAAAGTCACAAAATATGCACACACAAACATCAACAAAATGAAAAGAGAACCCACTGTATGGGAGAACATATTTGCCAATGATACATCAGATAAGGGGTTAATTTCTGATATATATAAAGAACTTATACAACTCAAAACCAGGAAGACAAATAGTCAAATTGAAAAATGGGTAAAGGAACTAAATAGACACTTCACTAAAGAAGACATAAAGATGACCAATAGATATATGAAAATAGGCTAAACGACACCAATCACGAGAGAGATGCCAATTAAATCTACAATGAAATATCGCCTCATACATGCCAGAATTTATCATCTATACTAATAATAGAGGAATATGCAAATTGTCTGGGATGCCATCACAGTAACAACTGAACAGCAGGCTGTGTGGGGCAACCAGGCAGGTGGGGGGGGGCAGTTGGGGGTGACAAGGCCAGTGAATGGGGGGCAGTTGGGGGTGACTGGGCCAGCAGGCAGGGACAGTTGGGGGCAATGAGGCCAGCGGTGGGGAGGGCAATTGGGGGTGACCAAGTCAGCAGACAGAGGCAGTTTGGGGTGATCAGACTTCAGGGAGGGCAGTTAGGGGTGATCAGGCAGGCAGGCAGGTGAGCAGTTAGGAGCCAGCGGTTCCAGATTGTGAGAGGGATGTCTGACTGCCTGTTTAGGCCATATCCCTGGGATCAGGCCTAAACCAGCAGTCAGACATCCCCCCAAGGGGTCCCGGATTGAAGACGGTGCAGGCTACCTGAGGAGACCCCTTCCCCCCGCCCATGCACAAATTTTGTGCACTGGGCATGTAGTCAATAAATAAACAAACAACAAGTGTTGGAAAGATTGTGGAGAAAAGGGAATCCTTGTGTACAGCTGGTGGGAATGTAGACTGGTGCAACCACTCTCAAAAAATGTATAAGTTTTCTAAAAAAATAATATGGAGTTTTCTCAAAAAATTAAAAATGGAGCTGCCTTTTGACCCAGCAATCCCACTTCTGGGTATATATATCCTAAGAATACCAAAACACCTATTAGAAAGAATATATGCACTCCTATACTCCTGGCAGTGATATTTACAATAACCAAGATTTGGAAACAGCCCAAGTGCCCATCAGTAAATGAATGTATAAAAGAGTAGTGCTACAATTACACAATGGAGTACTACACCCCTATAAAGCAAGAAGAAACTCTTACCCCTATGACATCATGGATGGACCTGGTGATTAATATGCTAAGTTAAATAGGCCAGTCAGGGAAAGACAAATACCATATGATCTCAGTAATATGTAGAATCAATGAATAAAATACGCAGATGAGCAAAATAGAACCAGAGACATGGATACACGGGAGAGTCTGACAGAGGTCAGAGGGGATGGGCGTGAGGAGGTCTGGATAAAAGAAGGTGGAGAGAGTAGCCAAAGAACATATATACATAGCTCAGGACACAGACAACAGAGTGGTTAAGGTCAGAGGAGGGGTGGCGGGGCCTGGGTGGAGGTGGGCAAAGAGGTAGAAAATGGAGGCTGTCTGTAATATGTCAACAATTAAAATAAAGAAAAAAAAAGTAAAAGCCAAACTAAAGAGTGAAATAAAATGTTTGTAATACTTATATCTGGAAAAAGGACTGGTATTCCGATTACATAAATACTTTTATTCTCTAATATGTAAGAGAATGCAATAAAAAACGAGCAAAAAAGTTTGAACTGACAATTCATAAAAGAAGATATTAAATGGTCAACATGAAAAAATGGTCAACATATTTACTTATTATGGAAACACAAAACTGCAATGCGATAACTAGTTAGGATGCCTTACATTAAAAAGACTGACAGTATCAAATGTCAGGGAGGATGTAGACCCACTAAAAATCTCATACACTTACTGGTAACCACTTTAAAAGCTGTTTGAAAATTTCTTAAATAGTTAAATATGCACCTGCCATACAACTCAGATATATCACTTCCAGGTATCTACCCATGAAAAAGAAAAATATATGTCCATAAGAGATTTGGGAGAAGATATTCATAGCAGCTTTCCCCCATAATTGTTTAAACTGGACATTCCCTAAATAGGTAAACACATAAATAAAATATGATATACAATGACATACTACTCAACAATAAAAGTAGATAACTGCTTATGCATGCAGCAACCTGGTTGAATATAAAAATTATTATGCCAAGTGAAAGAAGCTATCAATAAAATAATACATGAGTGTATTATTCCATTTTTATAAAATACTAACAAATTTATTGCAACAAAAGGCATAGCAGTGGTTGCCTGGGGACTGGCAGAGGGAGGCAGAAATAGCAAAGAGTGCTAGGCATTCTTTGGCATGATGAAAGTGTTTTGTATCTTAACTGTTGGAATTTTTTCAAGGTTTCGATGGTTTCAACTAGGAAAAATTCATCAATGTATACCTTAAATAGGTGCATTTGATTGTGCATAAGTTATTTCTCAATGAAATTAACATCCTATATAATAATCCTATATAATAAAAGGGTAATATGCAAATCGACCCAACAGAGGAACGACTGGTTGCTATGACGCGCACTTACCACCAGAGGGCAGATGCTCAACCAGAAACAGGGCTCACGGCTGGTGAATGTAGCGGCAGTGGCAGCAGCCTCTCCTACCTCTGCAGCACCACTAAGGATGTCTGACTGATGTCTTAGGCCCGCTCCTGCTCCTGGACTGCAAGAGGGTGCAGGCCAGGCTGAGGGACCCACACCCCCAGTGCACAACCTTCATACACTGGGCCTCTAGAAAAAACAAACAAACATATTTTAAGCCAGATAGAAGAACTCACATGATACCATCTTCTATGTGACCTTTCACTGGGGGTTCATAGAGCCCACTTATATGGGGTATATGCTCACATTAGACATGACATTCCTGGAACGAGTGTAACCCCATATTCTAATTTGCTTTCAACTAGTGAGACTCTGGGACTTTACCTGAAGTATTCTGAAGTCAGATAGCAGGAGAACAATTTTTCCCTTCCCACAGTTTTTTTACATTTTTGTCCTTGTGTATCTAGTGATTAGTAGTAAATTCCCAGGCTGCAGTTGAAGCATGAGGCATTGTTTTGAGGACAGAAAGGAACTGAACTGGACCTTGTACAGGAGCATCTAAGTGCTTGGGGAGTGTGTGTAAATCATCGAGGCGAGTGAAGAAGAAGGTTCAATCCCTGGAGGCCCAAGGGAATGAAACCCTTTCAGCTCCAGGCTCAGACAGAGATGTGGCTCTCACCAGCAGGGGCCATGCTGTGGGGGGGGGATATAAATAAGTGCATCCCAAATTGCACCCACCTTCTTTCCAAACCTCTTCTTATTCTCTAACACACTCACCCAATTCCCATCTAACTAGTGTCTCAGGCTCCAAACAGAGTCATGTTTGACTCTTCTCTCTCCTCAGTCCTTACAATCAGATATTGCATCATCATGATTTTCAATCTAATTGACTCACACTCATTGATCTTTTTTCAAATGTATCAATATGCTGGCAGGGGAGCAGCTAGGTGTCAATCAGGCCAGCAGGGGAGCGTTAAGGGGGAGATCAGGCTGGCAGTCAGAGTTGTTAGTGGCAATCAGGCAGCCAGGCAGGAGCCAGCAGTCCCAGATTGTGAGAGGGATATATCCCGAGGGGTCCCAGATTGGAGAAGGTGAAGGCTGGGTTGAGGGACACCCCCCCACACCACCAGTGCACGAATTGGGTGCACCAGACCTCTAGTTCAACCATAAAAAGAAGGAAATCTTGCCATTTAACACAACATGGATGAACCTGGAAGGCATTATGCTAAGTGAGGTCAGTCAGAGGACAGGTATGATCTCACTTGTATGTGAAAACTAAAACAAACAAATAGAAACAAAAACAAAGGCATTCACAGAGAACAGATTGGTAGTTTTTAGGGGTGGGGCTGTGGGGGTCAAATGGGTAAAGGAGATCAAAGGATACTAACTTGCAGTGATAACATGAATGAATCCTGAATATGTAATGTACAGCATGGTGACTCTAGTTGACAATAGTGTATTACTGTATATATTTCAAAGTTGCTAAGAGAATAAAACCCTAAAAGTTCTCATCATAAGAAAAATGTTGTAACTATTGTGGCGATGGATATTAAGTAGACTTATTGTGGTGATCATTTTGTTATATGCATATATCAAATTGATATGTTGGACAACAGAAACTAATATAATATTATATGTCAATTACAGCCCAATAAAAAATTAAACAATTTTTTTTTGTTTGCCTCTACATCTGTGCCTTCTAAAAAAACACACATTAAAAAAAAATCAGAAAGATTTATCTGTTGTGGCAGGATAATAAGAAGCTAAGAACATTCCTGGGCAAGTGGCATAGGGAAACTGAAACAAGAAAATTAAACAAGGACAAACAATTTGAACAGCTAGGTTGTGAATGGCAAGAGCTTGTCTTCCCCATAGAGTTGAAAGCAAATGGTTCATACCTCTCCTCCCTAACCAGAGAATACATAGCTTAAATCACCCTGATCTGAGAAATAGAGAACAGAGACCCAATTAATGCCATTTGTGCCAGTTAAACCCAAGGACAAATGAAGTTAGGGGAACAAAGGACAAAAACCCCATAAAAGCCAGACAGACACAAGATAAAAGTAATGATCAAAGAATGACCCCAAACTCAGTACATTAAAAAATGCACCTATAAACTGATGAATATTCTGCTGAAACCCTCCCCTAATATTCTTGCCCTTAGATGAGAGAGAGAGAGAGAGAGAGAGAGAGAGAGAGAGAGAGAGAGAGAGAAAATGTCCAGGAGAAAGACTCACTGTGAGTTCTCTCTAGAGCAGTGGTTCTCAAACTTCTGGCCCTTTAAATACAGTTCCTCATGTTGTGACCCAACCATAAAATTATTTTCATTGCTACTTCATAACTGTAATGTTGCTACTGTTATGAATAGTAATGTAAATATCTGATATGCAGGATGGTCTTAGGCGACCCCTGTGAAAGGGTCATTCGACCACCAAAGGGGTCGAGACCCACAGGTTAAGAACCACTGCTCTAGAGCATGCCCTTGCCCCTTCCCCCTAAACTCTAAGGGTCCCCACGAGACTTGCAACCAGGAGAGAATAGGGCAGCGGCAGCTCATCCTGACTTCCCCAGTGAGCTAAGAGCAGCCTGCCTTGGTTCACTTCTTTCCTATGTTTCTAGGGAGCGAAAGGAGAGCACCGCCTAGCCAGCCGTGGGCAAACTACGGCCTGCGGGCCGGATCCGGCTTGTTTGAAATGATTAAAACTAAAAAAAAAAAAAGACCGTACCCTTTTATGTAATGATGTTTACTTTGAATTTATATTAGTTCACACAAACACTCCATCCATGCTTTTGTTCCGGCCCTCCGGTCCAGTTTAAGAACCCATTGTGGCCCTGGAGTCAAAAAGTTTGCCCTCCCCTGGTAGACTCTCTCCTATTGCTTCTTCTACCCTAAGTTCTTCCTGTGTCTCACAGTCCCCAGCTTTAATAAGCATACTCTGAAAATCACCTGGACTCGTGTTGTGAAATCTTTTCTATACAAAGTCAAGAACCCACACACTACAGGCTGGCCTGAGGCAGACCTGCTCCAGGCCATCCAGGCCCGTCCCTGTCCAGTAACATTATTATTCCCTTTGTATTTGGAGATGCTCTTTGGATATGTTGGATAAGGATGTAGAATGGCTTATTGAATTAGAAACTCATCCAAATTTCCTGGCTCTAGCCTTTTTGGGGTATCCATCCACTACTGATGGGGGAAATGGTGATGGAGTCACCTTTAATGTCTTGGAATCCCATTTTTCTCATTTCTCCCCCTAAATAAGTTCCTGTAGGATACTTATTGAACATTGGGTATTAGTTTGCCCTATTTATTTGACTTATTTTTATGAAAGCTGTTGAATCTGTTATCTCTCTTCCTATTGTGGTCCATTGTGGACATTGCATCCTGAAACTCACACTTAAATCATTTATTTACAAAATTTTGAAAACTCTTCATTGGTTTAGGATATCATCACATTACTTGGCCATGGGTCTCAAGGCCTCTCATAATCTGGCCATAACCCAGTTCCTACACGACCACTCTTTTTCCTCTTCCTACTTTCTAGCTCAGTTTCTTCTCTTAGAATCTACACTCTACATCCTTCCTCAACCTCACAGTTGTCTTAATCCTGTAAATTGAGAGGATACAGAATAAGTGTGGCACTTTGACAAGTGCATTGTTTTGAGCTGAAGGCAATTAAGACCCAGCCAACTCAGGAAAAGCTTTTAACCTCTCTTTTAACTGCTAGAAGAATTACAGAAGGGACCTATACCAGGAAGAGAGCTATCACTAGAGATACATTTATATGTCAAAAAGACTTATCTGCGTGACACAGTAAACATTTTTTAACCAAACATTTGCTCTTATCATTCTGTGAATTGTCTTTCTCCCCTTTGAAGCTCCAGACTCCTACACCCTTCTCCTTAGCTCAGGATGGTGTATGAGCCTCAATTGCCTGCCTGCCTTTGAATTTTCATGTGTTTTGAGGGCTTCTGTATATACATAATTATATTTGTTTTTTTCCTGTTAATCTGTTTTCTGTCAATTTGATTATTAGACCAGTCAACAAAACTGGAAGGAAAGAAGGGGGTGTAATATGTCTCCAGCAGTAAAGGTTCTGGAACATGTTGGACTCTCTGTTTAACCCTCTGTCACTGCTTAACTCTGTAGCCTCAGGTTTGCTGATGACCCAGAAAGCTGGAATGCCACCCAAAGAGAAAGGTCATGTCCCCAGGAAGGAGGTTAATGTAGGTACAGAGTGTGGGTGTTATCTGTTAACTTGGAAATGCATTGTTCTTTCTGGTGACCTATGTGATACCCACCATATGCTTTCACTGTTAACCCCTATGGAGAAGAGACCCTGTCCTTGCAGGGTGTGGATTTATTCCCTGCCAGCCACCTCTGGGAGCAAGCAGCTGCTTTGCCCGTGTATGTAAGTTTCTCCTATTAAAGCTCTAATGAATTTGAATAAGGCTACAGGTCAGTTCTTCAGAATCAAACCTGAATTTAGACTTTGGGGATTTCCCCAACACTTGGCTTACTGCACAGAAGCTCCCTGACCAATATGACTTATAGATAAGACTCACCCATGTCCCTTTTCACTTATAATGAGACCAGAACCAAACCATTTAATCATGATTTTTTTTTGTCTCAATAAAGATGAACTGAGCTCTTTGACTCCACTGATCAATCACAATAAACTGCTTGCAAGTAAACCTTAATTCAGCTTCTCTCCTTTCTCCTGTCCCCTGAACTTTCACCCACCCTCCTGCTGATCCAGTCAACAACCCTTCTTTATAGATCCTGCCTAAGAGTCAGCAAACCTCTGGGTCAAATGTTCCCTTTTACCCCACTCCCTCCTCACCTGTTCTTCCCTGTGAAGACAATTCCTTTCTTCGTGGCCTGTGAGATGCTTGCAGCTCTATGTCTGGGTTGTTTTCCACATCACAATAGTCTCCTTCCCTTTACTGCAATAATCCTGTCAAATGAAGTCTCTTTTGACTTGTCTAGATTATTTTTATTTGATAATACAGATTGTCAAATTGTTTCATTGCCTGTTGAATAGTT